GACCATGCTGGGAGGGAAAGACTGGAAACAGAGGTCAAGCCCAGAAATGATAGCTGTTGTTTTTTTCTGGGGGTGGTGGATGGAAACGGTAGAAATACTCCCTGTGCAGTACTGACCCCTTCCTTAAATGACTAAGTGACCATTTGTAACAATCTTTTCCTATTTTACTTATTAAAAAGCAATGCACACAAATATGGGGGGGTGGCATATGAAAATCTAGATTGTACAGAATGGCTTTAAGTGAAAAGTTTTCCCATACTACACACACACTCTTTCTTTCTACTCCCCAGAGGTGACGATTTTAATAATTTTAGAACTCTCTTCATACAGGTCTATATATGTGGTGGGTTCAATGGGAACGAATGCCTGTTTACAGCAGAAGTATACAACACTGAGAGTAATCAGTGGACAGTCATAGCACCCATGAGAAGCAGGAGGAGTGGAATAGGTGTAATTGCTTATGGAGAACACGTATATGCTGTAAGTTTCTCTAGTCCCACAACATAAATGACTAGCTTCTACATTTTATATTCATAAATAGGTTTACACTATCATCGTCAGGCATTTGAAAAGGCTTTTTTTTTACTCCCTCATGGTACATAGTGGAAAGGGAAGGTATTAAGTCACTGATGCTCTTCAACTAGGGCTTTCTCCATAAACTGAAGCAATGGTTAATAGTTTAACTGTTTCTTTTGCAACCTACAGGTAGGCGGTTTTGATGGCGCTAATCGACTCAGGAGTGCAGAAGCCTACAGCCCAGCGGCTAATACTTGGCGCACGATCCCCACTATGTTTAATCCTCGTAGCAATTTTGGCATCGAGGTGGTGGATGACCTCTTGTTTGTGGTGGGTGGCTTTAATGGCTTCACTACCACCTTCAATGTTGAGTGCTATGATGAGAAGACTGACGAGTGGTACGATGCTCACGACATGAGCATATACCGCAGCGCTCTGAGCTGCTGTGTGGTACCAGGGCTGGCCAACGTTGGGGAATACGCAGCTAGACGGGACAACTTCACGGGATTAGCACTGCGAGATGAAGTAAAATATTCTGCTTCGACAAGTACCCTACCTGTATAAGCATCTTCACTTAGCTAATAAAAAGTCTAAGCAGTAAGAATTAATTCTTTTTTTAAATAAATGCAGTGTTTAAACTTAAGAGTACTGGAAAGTGTTCAACTTAAGGGAGCCAGGGTTGGATGAATTGAGGGAATAGGAAGGAAAAAAGAAGGCAATTATATTCAACAGTGTATAATTAAAATGGGGGAAAAAAAGTACAAACCAGCTCTAAAGAAATATGTTTATTTAAAACTCACATTGAAACGATTAGTAGCTTTAACATAGAACAAGATAGCTTTAGGAACATAAAACAAACTATTTTACAATGTTATGTCTCAAAGTGTCCTAAATACGGCATCTCCTAACTTCGGAGAGAACGCCAAGATAATGCTTTCAGCAAAGTGGGGGCCTGGATATTGCTAGCCCAAAGAACTCACTATATCAACTCAAACTAAATATTCATTTTATAAATAACTCAATGAGTCCTAGCACATTACTGTTCATGATTGCATTATGCAGGAGGGTTAAGTTAACAAGTGCTCTATTGTATGTGCTTCAATGTGAGACATTCCTAGTCATGATCCTATAGGAGTAAGACAGAAGCCCACAAAGGTAATCAACAAAGAGCAGGAATTTGGTCAATTAAATTCCTTGAAGCAAAATGACTATTGAATTAGGTTACTGTATTACATCACTCAACTATGAGTTGTTTTGTTTCCAATGACCAGGACATATAACATAAGCATTGTAACAAAAAAAAAGACTTTTTCAAGAAAGTAAAGTGGAGTGGTGGAATGTGACAAAATGTTTGACAATCAAAGAAATGAAAGATTTGTTCCTCAAATACTCCACAATTAAATGGCAATCTGTAATAAGCACCCTATTTTTCTAGTGTAAGCAGAGAACTCGTTCCACAATTCTGTATATTTTCAAAGACATGACACATGGTCAATATATTCTTTATGTAAGCTTAATTTGAGGAAGTACAAAAAATTTTTAGATAAGACCAAGTAATTAAAACATACAATTCAGTTCACTACCTGTAGTTTAGTGTTGACAGAATTATGAAGCAGAGAATGAAGTATTTTAAACATCACATGCTATACTATTTAGGAAGAAACATGAAGCGGAACAAAGTATGTCCAAGAAACTGCCTTACCAGCAACCTGAATGGCTAAACAAACAAACAAACAAACAAAAAAACCCACACAAATCTCCCATATACACTATTTCTCTAGCTTCAAACAGAAGTCTGTTCTATATTTAAAAAGGACAGTATTTTTAATTTTTCTGGTCCCAGAAATACTATACAAAACCAGGTTATCAAAAAAGTGATGTCAACAACTTTTAAGATTATTTTAGCAAAACAAGGCTTTTTCAATTGGCACAGCAAAAGCAAAGTTGAATATCAAGACACACAGGCTAACCATGCACACAACTCCAAGTGAGACGGATTAAACACTAAGCCCATGACTGACATTCTCAATATGACCACTGATTTTTTTTCCCCCCACAACATGGTAAAGGATACCCATTCTAAAATACAAGTGGTCTCACTCCAAGTTATATACAGTCATTACTTTTTGGTATAATCAATTATACCTCCTTCTTCCACAAAACAAAAATAAAAGCATCAAAACAAACAAACAAAAAGCTTGCTTGAATATACATGAAGTTGTGTTTGTAAAGCCACGTTTTTGACTATTCAGATTACTACAACCTTTTAAGTTTTCAGCAAAAAGGAAATTTCTCTCCCAAAAGCCATCTAGGTCTCGGTCATCATAATCAGAAGTTATTTACAGTTTACAATTTCAGAATGTCAGCCTTGAACAGATTTAAGCAAATCTGGTTTCTTTACGTATTAACAAAGTTAGTTAGGATATTTCAGAAACACAAGTTACTGATGTGAAATCACACATGTGAATTCAAATGCGACAATTAGGAATTCAATAATCAGGAAAACCTGCACACATCATCATGCAATGAAGGACTTACCCCTTCCTTTCAGCCATGGCCTTGGCTGCCTGCCAAGTTAAAAAACAACAGTTTCAATCAAGGTTTCAAAACCAGATTATACCTAAATCTTAGGACTTATAATTTCTGGCACATGATGTGCGTTGTATGTGTGTGTGGGAGAACCCAACTCTACAAATAACTTGGTAAATGACTATCTCAGAAGACAACTCTGAGACAAAAAAAAAAAAAAAAAAAAAAAAAACCTGCTTACATTATACCCTTCTGGAGAGAAACTGGCATCCTAGGGAGCTAAATTATTTCAACACAACCAAAACAAAGCTTGCTATGCTGTCTGTAAGAAAGAAATGAGAACTTCAATGAGCTTTTCTTACTTGCACAGACCTCTTACAACTAAGAAAAAGTTGAATTTAGCACTTATTGGACTCCAAGTGTCTTCATATAACTATAAATAAAAAGAAATCCAAAAAACCAGGAGAGGTGGGGTGGAGTAACAAAGCCTCATCTGCGAGACTTGCAGCATGCCCCCCCAGTCTAAGTTAAAACGGTTTTGGTTTTGAAACGTATTTCCAACATATTTATTGAAAAACCTTGCCTTAAGCATGGATACTAATGTAGAAATTTCAGAAAAGTTCTTATTCTTAGCACAGGGTCCAAGGGATAAAACAATAGTCTTGTAGCAAATGGAGTCAAAATTTCTGGTTGTGCTGTTTTCCCTGATGTCTGATCATACAACTACTAAGAAAGTTGGCTTTAATTATAATGGATTAGGAAAAAAAAAATTACTATACTTGGAATTCAACTTCTGTACTGGTATACTAGCATGTCTAAGATGGTAAAGACATTTTTTAAAAAACAATAAAAATAAACCGGACCCATCTGATTGCCAACCATCAGAGCTGGACCTCTGCCTGCTCAAGGAAAAACAAGTCCTTTCTGTTAACTGCAGGGGTCAACCTGAGTGAGTGCTGATGTGTGCAAAGCTTGAGTGGGTAAGAGAAATCAGATGAATGCACATGCCTACAAGAAACATAACTGCAATGCCACATTTTTAAGAGCCAGAATTATGCACCCAAATCCAGTATTCTGGGCTCAAAATTCCAATTAAACCCTGGGGCAACTGGGTAAACTACTATCACTATCAGGCCGAGATATAATGAAGAGTCTCTTTAGCAACATTTCTCTAGATCATTACTTCCTTTCCATTCTGAAGAATGTTTTTTTTTTAGAAAGGAATGAGGATTCTATACACTATGCATTAGAGCAAAAATTAAAATGGAAGGCATTGAGTGTGGATTGTCATAAGCATTATTTACACTCACCAACTTATCCTCAAATAAACCTGTAACTTCTGAAAAAAGTTTAAATGTTAAATGCTTGGCTTTGTAGTTTACATTAATACTACTTTTCTTTCTCCAGACACAAATGTAATTTTCTCTGTGTTCAATCAGCTAAAGAGTAATACTTTTGGCCACTACCATCATCTCAGCTTGATGGCTTAAAGTCCACAACACAATTGCTAAAGAAATAAAAAATATTCAAAAAATGTATGAGCCAATCACAAGATTTTCATCAATCATCTCTTCTGGAATTACACATGACAGCATTTCTAGATAAACACATACAACAAAACATCAACACAAACATTCTAAAATCTTGCTGAAAAATTGTGCTTTTTCCTTTCAATTTCAATCTCACTATTGCACATGCCTCCTATAGAAGAGGGTTTAATGCATAAATTCTCATCTTGTCAAAATCAACCATTCTGGAAAAAATGAAGAAGAAAATCAAAGTAAATGTGCAAGTAAAATTGGTGCTTAAAGCATGTTCAAAATATAAGTCCCTAAGATAAAGGAGTTATAACTTATTGGCAGAAAAACAGCCAAGTAACTACACCGGATTTTTCCACTTGTCTTTAATAAGATCCTATTTAGCTAATACACACACACACAAACCAAGGAGAAAGATTGCAAGCTAACAAAAGTTACCACGTATGGAATCGAGTTTCCCATTCTTCAGTTTTTAACTACTTTTCCTTTATTTGTGATAAATTAGTTCAGGTAGAAAATAAGTTATTGACACTTTTTCCAGTAACAGTCTGTATAGCTTCAGCCTCAGGAAAACACAACTGTTTTAAGCTGCACCTACTAGAGAACCTAGCATTCGATCTGAGAGCTTGGCACTCGCCGCATGTTTAGGGCATGCCGATGTATTTCTTGCATTTGTCTGATCCGGTCCTTCTGCCACATTAAGTTTTGAGGCATAGGATACCTCTGTGTGCCGTGCAAGTACCGGTACGGGATTCTCACGTGGCAAGCAGTGGCTCTACAACGAGGCTGTGGCATGGGAGGAAGCAGCATCCACCTCTTCCTCTCAGCACAGTACCGGTAGGCTTCTTTCCGATACTGTTTGTCAATATCATCACTGTTTTTCCAACCTCCAATAATGAAAACATCATCTTTGTAATAGCAAATGGCTGCTCCTTCAATGCTCAGGACTTCTGGAGGTAAGCTTTCAAGGATCTCATCAGATATCTGGCTGGCAATTTTTCGAACCGCCTCTTCATTTTCTAAAGAGTAACTCTTAGGACAGCATGACGCTGTCTGGTAAAAGTTTGAATTAACTACAGACATCTGGAAAAAGCAGTAATTGTCAATAAGTGGTAAAGATTCCACATCTTGCCACTGTCGAGTCTCTGTATCATAACAAGTAATTACGGCTTTTAATCCGTCTTCAGTGTCACGATCCACAGGAGTGCGGGCAGCAATGTATACAAACCGGTCTTCAATGGCGAGTGCTTTGACATCTCGTAGAATCTTTGGTGCCGATTCCAAGTTGTGCCATTTATCAAGCTCAGGATTGTAAACAGTCACATCTTTAAAGCCAGGACTAAAATTGCCATGTCCTCCAATGCTATAGAGCTTTCCTTTGACTTCTGTTAGCCCAAAAGAGTGCTTTCTTGTCATCAGACTACAAACATGTTCCCACGTATTCAAATTTGGGTTATACCTTTCCACAGTTTTAGCAAACCCTGGTTCCATTGATCCAGCAACATACACATAGGATTCTGTTACTGCAACTGCATGTCCATCAAGGTGATTATGAATATGAGGCAAGTTTACCCATCTGTCCTCATCTACAAAATATCCCACACATTCACTTAAATAGTCCCCCCCTTCTGACACGCCTCCAATAACCATGATCACGTCCATGTTTTGCCCGTAGCGAGGTAACAGAGAGACATGAGAAGTGGGGTGCTGGAACGTGCCAGACTGTATGTTCTCGGCTCTCAGAGCGTGCCTCTCCACTGCATCGGCCACCAGCTTGACGCAGACTTCATTACTGGCCACCAGCCTCTCTGGTTTGACATGCCGAGTAAGGTACGTAGGCTTCATCTGGGACAATCTCAGCAACTTAAAAAGTTCTTCAAAGTATCTCTCTCTCTCTTCAGCATTTCTCTGAACCCATTTCAAAACTGTTTCAAAGAGCACCTCTTCAGAATCAACCGTAATTTCCAAGTCTGAAAGCCAGTCTCGAATGAGATGGAAAGGTAAAGTGTAAAATTCTTCATCTTGAATTACTTTGTGGAAATTTCTCCGTATCATATCGGCAGCTTTCAGAGCAAGCTGGCTCAGGGTGTACATGTGAGCTAAACTATGAATGGCCACACAATTAGAAAGATGAAGCTTTTTCTTGAGGAATTCTCCACAAAATTCTTTTAAACGAATTAATAAAAACCTAAAATCAAGAAAAAGAGAAAAGATTAATTTCCAAATGTGTGTATTTCACAAGGTTGCATTTTGAGAGCATCTGAATTACACAAATTGAAATGGTGAGATTAATTTCACCTTATGCACATTTGAAAAAGCAAATCCCCCAGATTAAAAAATATTGTGCTGAAAAAGTATGTTTGAAAGCATAATCTTTCTATATAATAGTATAAATATTATTTATATAACTTACAGATAATTGTATATAAATCACACACACATATACTTATATACAGAGTAGAATTTTGAATTATATAACAACAGCTTTCTGGAAAACGTCCTCTAATAAAGTATAACTGTCTTTATTTTCACTTTAATTTGCCCTCCACAAATCCTATCCATTGCCTCTGCCTCCCTGTCCTAATCTCTTGCCCTCACTAGCTTCTTCTTAAGTGAGGCAGGGTCTCAGAGAAAAGATTTTATTAAGCATCAATTATATGGTATAACCATCACCCATCTGTCAGTTTGTCATACTGTGGTGGCCTTGTGTGTTGCTGTGATAATGGAAGCTATGCCACCAGTATTTCGTATACTAGCAGGGTTACCCATGGTGGACAGGTTTTAGTGGAGCTTCCAGACTAAGACAGATTAGGAAAAAAGGCCTGGAGCTCTACTTCTGAAAATCAAGGATCACAACAGAACATTCTCCAACTTGCTTGCTTTGGACATGTCATCAGGAGGGAAAAAAACAAACAAACAAACAAACTCACTGCCGTTGAATCAGATCTAACTCATAGTGACTCCTTTTTGGGTTTCCAAAGTGCTATCTCTATGGAAGTAGATTGCCCATCCTTCCTTCTAAGGAGCAGCTGGTGGGTTTGAACCACCAACCTCCTGGTTAGCAGTCAAATGCCTTAGGCACTACACCACCAGAGCATCAGGAGGGAGGAGGGATTAACTGCTGGAGAGGACATCATGTTTGGTGAAGCAGAGGGCCAGTGAGGGCAAGGGAGATCCCTCAGTGAGATGGACTACATAACAGCCACAGCAATGGACTTGAAGATGTTGATGATCATGATGATGCAGGACTGGGCATAAAGTTGTACATAAGGTCATCATCAGTTAGAGTCAACTCGACAGCATCCATCCATCCAACTATCTATCTGGTATAAAGAGCCAAGCAGGAACTGTGACTCCCTGGAGGGTCTGTCTGGTCAGATTATCAGAAAGAATAGCAGTTTAAGTTTGTGTTACAGCTTTTAATCTCTTCTCCAACAGAGCTTTCTCCATGGGCACCTGGGTTCCCATTAAGGCAGGGATGGTAAAGGCAAACTCAAATATCCGAAGAAGCCAGAACACAAAACATAAACAAACAGTACATATGTAGGGCCCACCAAAAAAAGAACCAAACTCACTGCCACTGAGTAGATTCCAACTCATAGTGACATGCCACACACACCTTGGGTTTCCCATGTGGCAGATCTTTACCAAAGCAGACTGCCCTGCCTTCCTTTCACGGAACAGCTGACGGGGTTTGAACCACCAACCTTCTGGTTAGCAGTTAAATGTCTTAGCCATTGCACCACCAGAGCTCCTACAGGATTGTCCAAGTAAAAAGCAAGAGTAGTATGGCACATAGCTGACTACAAGTTTTCTGTCCACCTAAATTCATTTAAAGTTAAATTTAAAAACAAACAACAAAACAATGGTTTCAGACAAATTCAGTTATCTGGCAGCACTCAGCTGTAAAGGTAGCCAATTTGAAACCACTGCTTTAAAAAGAATAGTTGTTGTTGTTAGGTGCCGTCGAGTTGTTTCTGACTCATAGTGACCCCATGCACAGCAGAACGAAACACTGCCCGATCCTGTGCCAGTTCCATGATCCCTGCTATACAAGTGAGCCCATCATCACAGCCACCTGTCAATCCATCTCTTTGAAAGCCTCCCCCTCTTTCGTCGACCCTCCACCCTACCAAGCATGACATCCTTCTCCAGGGAATGGTCTCTTCTGACAACATGACCAAAATAGGTGAGACAAAGTCTGGCCATTCTCGCTTCCAAGGAGCATTTTGGGCGCACTTCCTCCAGGACAGATCTGTTAGTTCTTTTAGCAGTCCATGGTACTT